CAGGAGAGGAGCCAGATTCCCCAGGGAAATGGAACCAGTAAGAAATACAGATATGTCTTAGTCTGTGTTCCAATTGCATTAACAAAAATACCACAGGCTGAGTGGCTTAAATAACAACTATTTATTCCTCACAGTTCTGGAGGCTGGGAGTCTAAGATCAAGGCACTGGCAGACTTAGTGTCTGGTAAGGGCTTTCTCCCGGGGTCACAGGGCACTTTCATGCTGTGTCCTCACATGACGGGAGAGGCAAGGATGCTCTCTGGGGTCCCCCTTTGTAGGGACACTCATTCCATGAGGGGTTCACTCTAATGACCTACCCACCTCCCACAGACCCCACCTTCAAATACCACACTGGGGGTTAGGTTTCAACCTATGAATTTTGGAGGATACAACCTTTTCGTCTATTACTATAAGCTAGTCAGTCTGCACTGATCACTGGGTACCCTCCTTGATCCTTTTGCAGAACAGGCGATTGAGGTTTGCAGAAGTTCAACCACTTACCTACCCAAGGTCACACAGCACGAGCCAGTTACTTGCTGTACTACTTCCTACGTCTTTGCTCAGCAAGGTTGGAGATAAACCTACATACGACTATTGTCCCCACCCCCCTTCAAGGGAATTTCCCAGGCCCATGAAGATGGGAGCCCGGTCCCCTGCCACCATTGGCTGTTCTACCCCCAAAAGCCCTGAGGTGGCTTGGCAGGAGAGAAGTTCTTGCTGGTTGGGGCTCTTGCCAAGCCACGCCTGTCCCCATGCAGCTGAGCTCAAATCTGTCCCTGCTTGTACCTGCCTCATGTGAGCTTGGGGAAGGCTGTTTTGGCAGCCAGTCAGCAGAGGGCCCTTATCCTTGAGGGTGTTGGGGACTGAGGGTGTGTGACTCAGTGCGCTTGGGTGAGTAAAAGGCTGCAGCCCGGGGAGGGCCAGAACCCAGCCCAGGAGAGATTTTCAGCCCTGCAGACAGGCTGGCCCCAGGCCAGGTAAGGGCTCAGGTGAGTCACACCGCTAATAGTTGCCTGAGGCTGGGCACAGCTGTCCTCCAGCCAGGGTGGGACAGCCCGAGAAAGTTCCAAGGCTCTTGGCTCTAGCCGGCCCCTGAAGTGATGTGGGGGTCTCCCACTCGCAGCTGCTGAACTCAGCTTGCTCTTTATCTTTGATACTTCTAGAACCAGGTGCTGAAGGACAAGGGACCACGCCTCCTACCATCTTTGGCCCCAGGGGAAGGCAATAACGTGGGGGGGGGATGGGGGGGTCGGCTAATTAGCAGCAAGTATGCTAATGGGACAGGGTCCTAAGGTCTGCAGAGAAGGAGGCAGTTCTCTCCATTCTGGGAGGAGCCTAGAGGAATGGAGTGCCCTCAAAGTAGAGAAAGGTCCCTGCTGGACCTGGTGGGACACAAGAGGGGACAGGTTGCAGGTGGAACTGCTGGGGGTGGGGGAGATGGGGGGGGTGAGAAGGAGGGGGAGGGGCCAGGAATGATCGAAAGCCCAGCTGGTTTGGAGCTAAGGAGCCAAGGGTGGAGCTGGCCCTGGCTGGGCAAAGGAGGGGCTGCCATGGCTGGAGACTGTGCAGGGCACCCACCCAGGACATCCTGAGACCCTGGTACCCATCCCTGCTGTGCTAGGGAGGGAGAGGCAGCTGGGCTTGGCTGGGCGGCGGAGGATGGGGTTTGGTGGAGGACATGGCTACAGCTGCCCACCGGTCTGTGTCTCCGGGCTGGATGCCTCCCAGCGCTGCTCAGTTCACAGGGTCACTTACTGAGTCCTCACTGGGTGAGAGAGTGGCCCCCTCTGGATGGAGCTGGAACACTGGGTTCTAATTCTGATGGCTGGTTGAGCTTGGGTAAGTCTCTTGCTCTCAATGACCTCCATCTGGAAAACAAAACACCTACCTCCTAGGGGCGCTGTGAGGATTAAATGAGAGGGTGGAAGGTCCACCCGTGTCAGTTTCTCAGGGATGGAGCCGGGCAAGAGGAAGGGCAGGCAGCTTCCCCAGATCTTTCCTCTGTGTGTGTCCTCATGCTTGGAGTCAGCCGGACCCTTACCAGCTGGCCTGATGCAAGACTGGGCCCTGAGAGCCCGGGATCTAAGGACAGAACCTCCCCTCCCCCCACCCAGGGAAAGGGCTTCTAGTCTCCTTGACCTCACTTCTGGTTTCCCGGCCCTTCTGGCTCCGAAGGCACTCCAGAGTGCCTAGAGATCCCCTGGAGTTGGGGAGGCCAGAGAGAGACATTCTTGATCTTCTGTGACACAGCCTGGCTTTCTGGGAAGATGGAGGAATAGCACATTCCTCCTAAAATAATTGTCCTAGAGCTATTTCCAGAGGCCCTTAGTGCCCAGGCCAGAAATGGCCAGTGATCTTGATGCCTGGGTACCTTCAAGACAAGCGGCACAGAGGCCCAGCCCTCTCACTGGCTGCCTGCCCGCCTGCCCGGCCCCCAGCCCAGAGCAGAACCAGGCCAGGCTGAGGCCCCACGAGGAAACTGTTGATATCGTTTCCCTGGTCCACTCAGTGGACCCCACACCCCTCTTCTTGCTTTTTGAGGGGCCCTCTGATCCCTCCTCTGGGCTCCCTGTTTCAGCAACTATAACTACCCCACCCCCGGGCCAAAAGACCTTTCACCTTCAGGGGCTGCCGGCTGGGGAGGGCCCTCAGAGGTTTCCGTGTTATGGCACTTTATAATCCTGGGTCTGATCTTTCAGAAACATCAGGTAAACCCAGACTGAAGGATCTTCTCCAGAACAGCATGCCTGAGCTCTTCAAAAATGTTCATCTCAGGGTGCCTGGATGGCTCAGTCAGTTGAGCGACCGACTTCAGCTCAGGTCATGATCTCACGGTTCGTGGGTTTGAGCCCCTCGTCGGGCCCTGTGCTGACAGCTCAGAGCCTGGAGACTGCTTCGGATTTTGTGTCTCCCTCTCTGTGTGGCCCTCCCCCCTCATGCTCTGTCTCTGTCTCTGTTAGAATAAATTTTTAAAAAACATAAAAAAAAGATAAAATAAAAATACCCATCTCATAGGGGTGCCTGGGTGGCTCTGTTAGTTGAGCATCGGTCTCCTGACTTGGGCTCAGGTCATGATCTCACGTTTTGTGGGATCGAGCCCCGCGTCAGTCTCTGCATACTGACAGTTTGGAGTCTGCTTGGGATTCTCTCTCTCTCCTGCTCTCTCTGCTCCTCCCCTGCTCGCATGCTCTGTCTCTTTCTCTCAGAATAAATTAATAAGGTTTTTTAAAAATGTCCATCTCACAAAAGAGAAAGGCTGAAGACCTGTTCCAAGCTGAAGGAAACCAAAGACACCTGAGAACGAAAAGCCATGCCTGCTCCTGGGTTGGCCCCAGTGCCTGAAGAGGAGCTGCCAAGAGGAACATCAGAGGCACAATCGGTGAAATGTTTATTACGTGATCAGACTCCATGGCCGCCGAATGTCCTGTTCTTGTCATTGTAGTGCGGATACATAAGAAAATGTTGGGGGTGTCTGTTCATCCTTGGTGCGGGGACTACTTCGTGCCAGGTCTCACAGACTGGATCTTTTCTTCTCCTGGATCTCTGCCACAACCGTGGTATCTCTGCACACCCTTGGTCAGGCCGAGAAGCCTCCACACTCGATGCCCCTCTTCGTATTTACTGGAGCAGGTGTTACGACAGCAGCACTTGGCATTGCTCAATCCAGATGTCAGTTGGGGTAGAAAGAATAACCCAGAGCCCTGGAACTAACTGGGTCCCAATGGTCACCGTAAGCTCTACTCAGTGATTGTAGATTACAGAGAAAGGAAGGAAGAAGGTTCAGACTTGTAAATGAAATGTTTCGCTACAAAGCTGCTCAGAACAAAGTTCTTCCAGAAACCCTCTGCACAATTTTCCACGTATCCAGGAAATATTTTTCCTCTGAAATCATATTGGTGGTATTGTGTTAGGGTTTCCACTGATTAATAAATATCTGAAACTTGAAGAAAAAAAAAAAGAAAATGTCACTGTTTACCCAACAGGTAGGAGATACATGCCCAAGTTCAAGGGGATAAGGTGCTGTTGTCTGCGATTTCCTCTCCAAATAATAAAAATCAGTGTGTGTGCGTGTGTGTGTGCGTGCGTGCATGTTTGTGATAATAGATGTGACAAAAGCATTAATAATTTATGGATTCGGGGGGCACCTGGGTGGCTCAGTTGGTTAAGCATCCGACTTCGGGTCAGGTCATGATCTCACAGTTAGTGGGTTCGAGCCCCGTGTCGGTCTCTGTGCTGACAGCTCAGAGCCTGGAGCCTGCTTCGGATTCTGTGTCTCCCTTTCTCTCTGCCCCTCCCCTGCTCACACTCTGTCTCTCTCTCTCTCTCAAAAATAAATAAACATTAAAAAAATTTTTTTAAATAATTGTGGATTCAGATGAAGGCTACATGGGAGTTCATTGTCTTGTGAGTTTCTAGTAAGTTTGAGAAATTTTCAAAATATAAAGTAAAACTATATTTTCAATATTTGAGAGAAGGAAATGACAGGGGGAGGCTTTTCTCAGCAAATATGTACTGGGCACCCCTCAACGACCAGGGCTGGGTCGGGGGCATGGAGGTGCTGAGATTTGCCGACCGAAGAATCCTCAGGCTCTGGCCAGAGCTCGTCATGTAGTCGGTACTCAACACTGGGTCACCGACCGCGGTGGGCGGGAAAGACAGTTGTGCTCCAGAATGGGTCGCTCGCAGGGAACATCCCTCTGGGGAGACTCGATAAATGTTTGCTGAGCTAGTGAGAGAAAGAGAAGTGACTGATGCTGACCATGGCCGATGGAGTTGTATCAGGGGAGTCTTAGAACTCCCTGACTCTCAGCATGATTAAACGCTAGAAAAGCAACAAGGAACACTGGAAAACATCCACCCCAGTCTCGTTTTAAAAATAGGGCCCATCTGTCCTGGAGGGCTTAAAGTGGCGCAGGCCCTAAGGTAGGGGCCTGGCCAGGATGACCTCTGGAGGCCCCTCCCAGCTCTAGGATTCCATGATTCTATGACATGGCCAGCAGTCTGGAGTGGCGACATGAGTGTATCCCCAGTGGACAGCAACAGGAGGGCTAAGCCATCTACCTCCTAAAGACAGAGTAAGCGTGGCCAAGAGCCCTTTCGGCAGATAGGGCTTAGCCAGCCAGGAAGGGAAGGGTGGTGCTCTGTGGGGGTCAGCCCTCAGTCACCTCCTGTATTTCCGGAGGAGGAGACAGGGTGGGGTTGGACCCGGGAGGGAAGAGGCAAGGGTCTATACATTCCAAGCGATTCAGACCCAAAGGACAAGGGCAGCTGAGGGCCGTGGGCTGGAAGAGGGACAGGCAGCTGTTTTCTGGGTGGGACAGGCTCAAATACTGCTCTGTTCTCACTAGGCAGAAGTGGAAAAATAGCATCAAACTGGCAGTACTGGGTGTGGGGTGGGGGGAGAAATCAGAGCCTGCCTTCTAGGTGGGGGAAGGACGGTATTGGGGAACCGACGGACAATGTGGACGAGGAAGGGAAGACTACACTGCCCTTGGCTGGCACAGGAGGTGGGGTTATTTGGACTGGGCATCTCCTTGGCCTGGTCAGACCTTGGTCTCGGTGAAGTGCTCGCATTTGGACCACAAGGAGTAGGGCTCCCAATTCCCCTCCTCCTATGGAATGGATGAGAAGACCCTCTACTGCCCAAGAGGGTCAAGACAAAATATCCTGGAAGACTGTGACCTTACAACTATGGCCCAATTGGTAGACTTGCCATACGTCCTTCCCCTGCTTTCGTTTGGGATTCCTAAAGTCAGGATCAACTTAGGGATGGGGTTAGCAAGCACCCCTGTCCATCTGCTTCTCCCCTTTAGTGCCCCCATCCAGCGGGCAGAACAGATGTGGTGAGAAATCTTTATTAAGAGACTGTGAGAGAGGGCCAAAGTCACCCCAACAACAAAGCGTTATCTTCCGGAGGCCATCAGACACAATCAAGACAGTACTTAGGGCCCACCACTTCCAACCTGTGTCGTCTGAGGCAAGTCACCTCATTGCTCTGAGACTGAGTTTCTCCATCTATCAACCAGGAGTAGAATAGTGTCCACCTTCTTGATTTGTAGCAAAAATTGCATATAAGACACAAGCAAAGGGCCAGGCACAGAGACAGCACGTACGGCGTCGCAACACTTCTAAGATGCATTTTTTAAATGTCAGGTGCATTGGGTAGTGGATGATTATGCTCTGGAAAGGAGGTCTCTCTCGGTGCTTAGAATTTCCCCATTAGAGATTCAGTCCTTGGTTTGTGGTCTTCTGGAGTCCTTGCTCAAAAGGCAAATGGGAGTTTCAGAATACCAGCCAGAGTTCAAGGAGACCCCTCCCCACCACTTTTCCAAAGGGTCCTTTGGCCTCAAGTTGTCTCAGGGTCTTGCCTTCCTCCTCCCGTCTTGCTTTCCGAAGAATAGGGTATGTGTTTCCTAGTCAGAAGCTTCCCGGGACCTAGGAGAGGTTGAGGAGTAGGAGCAGGGTGGCGGCGGCTCTCGGGAGCCAGAGGGAAGGGGAGAAAGCGTGCAGGGAGGTGGCAGGCATCCGAGGGGAGCTGACCCAACTGTCTTCAGCAGGCCCAGCATCCAGCCTCCAGGGGCGCTCGCGGCAGGTCAGCGCCACGAAGCCGTATCCGCCAGGCCGGGACAATGTCTAGACGCCCGGCGAGCCGTTCCAACATTTACAGCCGCTTCGGCCATCCCAACAATGTGTCCTTCTCGGCCCAGGCTCCAGGCTGGCCCCACTGCCCCAGCGTGAGCGGGGCTAACAGTGTCAGGCGCCCCCGTACCCCGAGTGGCTCTGAGATCAACAGCTGCGGCAGCCCCTCGGAGCCACCCGACGGCCCCAGCTGCTTCAGGCTTCCAGTGAGGAAAGTCTGCATGGGCCGCCCCTACTACTCCAAGTGTGTAGAGACGAGCCACCTAGCGAACCGGCCCAAGGTGGCCAGGAAGCCCGCTTGCCACGACCGCCCCAGCTGCCTGCTGTGTACGGAACGTCCCTCAGGCCCCTGTAACGTCACCTTCCTGGACCAACTCATCAAAGGCATCAACTACCTTGACAGATCCACCAGTGCCTTCTGTCCCAAGTCATCACTGAACCTGCCGAGGCTCGCAGCCAACTGCCTGGAGCGCGCCGCCAACTCCATCCACCTGGACCCCCCAGACCCCTCCTCCCCCCGTAGTCACCCTAACCAGGTCAGCGGCGTGGCTGCCTCTGAAAACTACACCAACACCTGCATGGTGTCATCCATGGGGGGCATCAACACTCTACAGTGTGTGGACGGGTCTGCCCACGCCAGCTGCTCACACCGGCTTCAAAGCCAGGGCACCACACCCGTGCTGCCCCAGAGGCCAGGAATGAAGCTGCCCGAGCTCCCCTTGCTCGGCAAAGGGCTCTTTTCCTTAGGTCGTCTGCCAAAGTTCTGGGAGGCAATCCGCTCCGGCTGGAGAGCCCCCGAGCCCACCTCCAAACCCTGTAGCTGGTGGTAACATCGATCGCAAAGTGGGTACATGTCCATCAGGCCGCAGCTCTAGGAAATAAATGGTCTGTGGCAAAATGCATCTTCCAAGGCTTCATTGGAGGGGAGGGGGCGGGACAGCCGTTCAGATTGCGGGGTTATAAACTGAAAGGGCTCCAGGGCCGGGAAGGTACAAGTTAATGGGTGAACTGGGCTGGGTGGTGGTGAGAAGGTAACAGTGGGGCTGGCTGAGTGGAGAAGAGATACCTGGTCTAAACTGAGCTCTCAAACAGGTTGTTGCTTTTTCAAAAAAAGCCAGGAAGCTCATGTTTACACGCTCACAACAAATTCAAAAATGTTCTAGTGCTCTGTGGGCCCAAGAAAAACGCTTGCAGGTGGAATGTGAAGCCCACAGGCCACGGTTTGCAATGGCGAGTTTATATCTCGAATGGATCACTGGGGGAGTTTCCCTGTGGGAAGAAAAAAAGACTAGCTCTTCATTCCCAATCCCCATTCACACTCTTCTGATTTCAGGACTGTTGTGGATATTGATTTTAGCACTGCCCAATGTGAACAGAAGTTATCATGACGACGACGACGATGGTGGTGGTGGTGGTGGTGGTGGTAATAGTAAGACTTATTATGTGGCAAGCACTATTCTAAGTGCTTTGTATATATTCTTTTAAGGATGTGTTTTTAATGGCCAGGGCTTAGGGTGGATGTAGAAGAAAGCTTTATGATGGCTGGTGGGAGAGGCAGTCAGGGATCGGTGCCACTAGAAGGAATGCCCTTCTTAGGAAATCTTTGAAGCATGGTTCTGTCCAGGCCAGAGAGAGCTGGAGGGTCAGAATGAGGTGGTCCCAAGTTTCTTGCTGGAAATGTCTGAGAAAATGTTCCCTGAGCCACCAAGGGGTCCAAACCTTCAGAGACTCAACTGATTTGAGTGCTGAGAAGTCAGGCCCTACAAGGCTTCCAGAGACTAAGGGACTGTGGAGACTGGGAATCCAGCCTCATTCTGCCACTAGCCTGCCCTGGGACTTCGGGTACATCACTTGGTCTCCTCAGGCCTGTTTCCCCTTCTATAAATGATTAGGGTAGCCTTGATGGCCCCTAAGGGCCCCAGACTCTGATATTTCTAAATCTGTCTTCCTAGTCCCAAGCCAGGCCTGGGCTGAGAATTGAGAGTGCCCCCCCCCACCCCCCCAACTTGCCCCTTAGCTCAGGCCTCCTGAGTCTTGAGACAACTTCCCATTTGTGGCCTTGGGACCATTTCTGTGTGACTCTTCAGGCCCAGGCCCTTCTTGCTCGAGCTTTCCTGTCTCCGTGGAAATACGAAGGCCAATAGCAGGTCCTCATGCGGAATGGGGCTGACCTTGAAATAATGCAGAACCTGCAGTTCTACAAGATTCCATGACTCCTGGAGGGAGTGGCCTGCTCTGGCCTAGCTAGCTCCATGGCCAAACAGAGAATGGCCAAGCCTGATTATCCCTACCATGAGGTCACCATGGTGGTGTTAGGATAGGAGGAAGGAAGGGGGTACTGGCCCCCAGTTTACTAAATTCACCCCCACTTGTATTTCATCTCTGAGGAACAAGGGATCCCTGGGTCCAAAGCTCAGCAGTCCAGCACATCTCTTTCCTCGTCTCTTGTCTCCCTTTCCTCCTGAGGGAGAAGACCATTTGGCCTTTGTCTGACAGGTCCTCAGTTGTCTTGCATCCCTTCCCTCCTGAGGGAGAAGACTCGGGTGTCCAGCAACCCATTCCCCAGGTGCACATTTGTAGGAATGCAGGTTACTAGAACCCATTTTGGCCCAACTCAAGAGATAGTCCAAGATATCCTGATTCCCAAATCCTCTGTCTGGCCACTCAAAGCCATGCCCTTCCTGCGCTAGGTCCATATTTGCATAAGATTTGTCTGTGACTCTCTCCTGGAGATGCCCGACTCCAAATCAGTTTAATTTCCCCTAAGTAGAGTGTAAGTAAGACTTTGCCTATGACACTGCCCTTGAGGTCTCCGGTGTCTAGACGAGTTCTGGCTCACAATAGGGGCTTGGTTATTAATATTGATTACAGATCAGTATGCCTAATAGGTGCCCAGCAATGGTAACTGCTCTTGTCTGGAGGATAGATAGTCTTATATGCAATGAATGTTCAATAACTAGTATTTATGGCCAACATTTATTAAGCCCTTAATTATATACCAGGCATTGTTTTAAGTGCTTTATATTAACTCATTTAATCCCCACATCAATCCTTCAAGGACGTTATTATTGTCCCTATTGTGTGGATGGGGAAACTGAGGCACAGAGCGGTCAGGCATAAATGATTATGATAAAGATGATTACAGTGCACACAGCACAGCGGCTCTTCAAAAGCTGGTTGGCATTGTCATTACAGAGTATTATGTGGACAGCAGGTGCTCAATCATAATAACAATTATCCTCATGATTACAGCATCTTGCAAATAGTAGGTGCCCTGTAAATGTACACAGTGGATGCCCAATGAATGTTAAACATTACAGAGCCCAGTACGTAGTAGGTGCTCAAATGAAGTTTGACCATTGGTGGCGGGTTGGATTGTATGTTAAAGGGACAGGATCTCTGTGCTTGGTCCAGCTGCTGCTTGGATACTCACTGCTCACAAATCCTTTTCACCAGTCACTTAGCCCAAGTCCAGAGAAAATAAGGTTCTTAGCTAAAGAAAGCTGGCTGTTCCAAGTGGCCCAGCAAAGACCACAGGAAGTCCTCCGTGTCCACGGTTCAAGCCATGCATCTGCAAGGTCTATGTAAACAGGAAAAAGCATGCTGGCTGTAGAACAATGCCACAGCCTGGTGTCCCCACAGCTGGAGGGTGGGGGTGTCAAGGAAAGCCCTTCATGCCTGTAGAAGTACCTCATCATGTATCGAGCACCCACACTGTTCTAGGCATGTAATCAATGCCAGAAACATAGGCTCTCAGCCTTCTTTGCTCCCAACGAGGCTAAGTTTTAGTACCTCATTTTGCAGAGGGGAAACTGAGGCTCAGAGAGAAAAAGTCACAACCCTAAACCCCTGCAGCTGGAATGGGGCAGAGCTGGGATTCCAAACCAGCGCTCTGACCCTCAGCCAATGCCCTTTCCATCCAAACTGCAGGGGGGTTTTCTTAGTATTTATTGAATAGATCCCAAGAGAAAGAGGGCTAAATCTTGGTATCCAAACTATGCAGTAAATTAGACAAAGCAAAGATGCTGTTTAACTCTAGGAGTCTGGACCGCCTCTCAACACCAGTGTTATTTTGTTGGCTTTTTAAAAAAATTGTTTTTATGTTTTATTTATTTCTGAGAGAGAGAGAGAGACAGCATGAACAGGGGAGGGTCAGAGAGAGAGGGAGACACAGAATCTGAAAAAGGCTTCAGGCTCTGAGCTAACTGTCAGCACAAACCCTGACATGGGGCTCGAACCCATGGACTGTGAGATCATGACCTGAGCCGAAGTTGGACGCTTAGCCGACTGAGCCACCTAGGCGCCCCTCAACACCAGTGTTTTGAACAGGGCAGTGTTAACCTGAAATATGCTCTTTCCAGGAAAGAGGAAACAGAGAGAAATTTCCTCAGAGGTCTCAATTGCCCAATTCACTGGTCCCTGCATCACTGGGTAACACCAGGGACAGGTGTATGACATTAGAGCTACTTTTGTCTATTAAAAAAAATCTGACATAGCCCTTTTCAAACAGATAATTTGACATCACCGTTCTATGATTCTAGAAAACAAATGCCACTTTTTGTATTGACAAGGTGCCAGTCGGAGTGACACACCATTCTATTTCCAACCCTCACTGTCCCAACAGCCTTTCCTCATTTCTGAACTTACCTCTCTAAACACTTAGCCCACCACGCCCCCGCCCCCAACCCCATTCCGAGGCCCACCTTACCCCTCACTGTCTTTTCTGTCTGCACATGGCTGGTCCTGCTTACTCCACATAAGAAGCAGAAAACTAGGAGTGAGGGGTACCCTCTCCCCGCCCCAACTGCATCCACATTGCCCTCTTTCAAGCCTAAATCTCAGTAGAAGCAAGAGCCTCAGACATGAGCCATGCCTGAGTTGGTACCACCATTTTTGGCAAACTCAACAGCCTCCTGGGCCCCTCCCAACAGGGCAGGAATTTATGGTGAACAATTGAACAAAGCCGGGAACTCGGAGGGAGAAGGCACAGGACATTCCACAAGGATTTCTCTCAAGCTCCAAAAGACAACATGTGGGAACACTGCAGAAACCTCATAACCTAGCAAAGAAAAGCATGAAAGGGATGGAAAATCTGCCCAGTAGGAAGGGCCGTGCGGGCTGGAGGAAGGAACAAGGAGCCTCGGGTCAGGAGGCCAGGGCGGGAGGGCTAGGGTTATGGCCCTGCAGAGGCCACTCTGCCTCAGATTCGTGGCCCTTAAAAACCAAGGGAACTGCAGAAGTAAACACACGGATGCATACGTATCCGGTTCACAGCAGTGCTCTATTACTCACGATGACGTGGAAACAGCCCAAATACCCAACGACAGGATAGGGTCGGTGATCTGTGCTGTGTCGATGAGCCACGAGACCACATTAAGTATCGCAACTATTATGTGCAAAGTCAATACGTGTTGCGTGCAGAGTAGCCGGCCCACAGATTGCCAATGGGTACCGTCCGCAGTAAAGAGCATGTAGTGGTTTGTACATCTGTGGGCTGCTCCCCATACGGAGCAAGTATGGCAAGAAAAAATCGTCAGCTAAGCTAAACAGAGGGCTCACCAATACCGTTGATTTACACTCTATGCAAGTTTCTTATCTCGGCCTGGTCATAAACAGTTTGGGGACAGGCACCGACCCACAGCGCCATTTTTAAGTAGCACAGGTTTTCACTGGACCCGCAGAAGGTAGGCAAGAAAAGCAAGACGTGTAAATGCACACATACGCTGACGATGTGAGGTAAAATGCACACGTGTACAGTAACAGAGGAGGGGACGTGAACATTTATGGAGCTCCAGCCACAGGCCCTGCACAGAAGTCTTCCAGCGCCCGAGCCGGAGTGCGTGGGCAGGAATGTGAGGGAGTGTATGGAGGCCATAAGAATTCCAACCAGGCTGGAGGGG